AGTATTATTTTGTTTATATGTTTATTTACTGGCCTCAATATAAGTTCTTATTGTGTTATCCTTGGTACTTAACGTTGTGAAAAAAAATTAGTGTTAATATTTACTAGTTAGTGTTTACTTAACTTGCTGCGGTAAAAGGTACGAGGAATTGGAGTTCTGAAAGCCCCCCGAGAGGAGAAGGGTTGTAACATATGCACTCCTCCTGACACACAGGTGCTTAATGAGAATTTCCTGTTTTGTTCAGAGACTAATTCAGTTAGAACTTTGAGGAAAGGTGTTGCGGAAATCCCCTGGTGCGGTTTCCAGGCATAAGTAATTACCCCATTTCAGGTATTTCCGATAAGACTTTTAACAAAACGAAAGAGAGGGATTTTTGTGTGAGCTTTTTATGTAGTGAAAGACTCAATCTAATGTCGTAGCTGCATCGGACGGCCATCGTGTGAATTATGGCTGTGATGGTTGATTATGTTATTTATTAGTAACGAAGAAACTCTTATTAAGTTTTCAAATAAATATTTAAAAGACAACTGTTCTTTCCTTTCACTCAACACGGGTATTCAATGTTACAACAGTAAAAATAGATATCTTAAATGCAAAGCCCACATTTGCAGTTCCTAAATGATTTTTATCCAAAAAATGCTTCTCACAACTAGCAACACTAACAGCAATTGAGAGGAAAATTTGGACTAGTATTAAAATCTTTGGAACTTCGTTTTGGTGATTTATTTTAGAATAAACTGCAAAAAGTCAAAAGGATACATTCTTTTGATTTCTCCTGCAGTAACAGAATTAAACTCACAAATACTTCTTTCCTAACGAGGAAATCTTACCTACTAATGTCACTGTGATCATAACTTATTTGATAGTCATACTTTGCTTTTGAAAAGGTATACAATAAATTTAAAAGGTATAACAACTGTATGTAACAGCTGAAATTGCGTGATTTCTTTGAATATTTTGCATAGCATAAAACTCTTTTCTTCTCAATTTCTGATCCACAATTTAGAATTTAATTATTCTTTGGCCTGCCTTGACGATTTACCTAAGATAAATAATGTTTCACGCAAAATATGCCATCCCAAAACGGGTGCCCAGGGCGAGCTGGTCCCCTTCTAGCTAAGCCATTTAGTATGAAGCCCTTGTATTATATCACCCATTATACTCTTCATCAATACTGGACAGTAATTTCAGTCCCAATATTAATTTGGAAATCTCTGCTTGATATGTGTTCATAAAATTTGTCAAAATGAGTTCTGGTCAGCACGCAAATATCCAAATCATCTAGAAGATACGTCAACCTGCTTCTTGCATTTCATTACATTCTTTGCAGAAAATACACAACTGCATTAGTGCAATATTGAAAATGGAAGAATTTTAGCCTATTAAATTTCCATATAAAAACTTCATAACATATCTCATGGAATAGTGTCATGATGCAGAAGTAACAAAATATATTTGCAATCTGCAATTGTTTTATTTGCAATGCCTTCTGTGGAAATGGGAGACAAACCTGTAAATAAGAAAGATTCAATGCAAGAGAGATTTGAATCTTTATTAAATAAGCACGGGACAAAGGAAAACAGTGCTGCACTTACTATTGAAAAATTATTAACTTTGATAGCAGAGATAAAAAGTGCTACAACAGCACAGAAAAAAGTACCACATGGTTACTCCACCATAATGATAACCTTGAAGTTCAAGTAGAACAATTAATTGTGCAGGTAACAGATGAAAAAACTGATGTGGTATTTTATTGCTCAAGTGAAATGCACTTTGATATTTTATATGAAACACGTGTTTCTATTGGACGTAGTGGTAGAGACTGCATGATAAAAGAACTGAATTGTCAATATAAAAAACATTACTTAGAATGACATAAAACTGTTTTTGAGTGTTTGTGAACCTTGTCAGCAAAAATAAAATATGGGAAAGAAAGGCATAGTGTTTCCATGGTGTTTCCACATCTGAATTCAAGATGCCAAGTAGATCTCATAGATTTCCAGTCTCAACCTGATGGAAATTATAAATTTAGTTTACCAGGATCATTTGAAATTTGTGATTTTAAGACCTCTTCAAACAAAAAGAGCAGATGAGGTCTCGATGCATTTGCTTGATATATTTTTATTATTTGGTGCCCCATGTGCACTTCAATCCAACAATGGAAGGGAGTTGGGCAATAAACTTGTTAGACAACTTGAAAATAACTTGGCTGGAACTTAAGATCGTACAAAGCAAACCCAGACATAATCAGAGTCAAGATAGCATCAAGAGGTCTAATCAAGACGTCGAAAATATATTAACAACTTGGATACAAGACAACCAATCTACTTCATGAATTCATGGTCTTAAATTTCTTCAGTTCATGAAAAACAGGGCACTTCATTCTGGTACAAAGAGAATGCCTTACGAGGTTATGTTTGGCTGTGCTCCTAGAGTTGGACTATCCACAACTTCTATTCCAAGAGAAATGTTTGATGCAGTACTGGATGAACAACAGTTTGAAAATGCCTCAACATCTTTAACTGCATGTGAATATGATGCTGGTTTTGCCAAAGAAGCATTTTTGAATGAAACAGTAGAAGGGCCTTTTGATTGCTATGAAGCTACACCCCCTAATAACACAGTACAATTTTGTACCATGTTAAAAAAATTGCAAAGATAGCTCATTTAGCGGTAAATGTAAACAGCTGACCCATGTTCAGAAGTCTGTTGAATGGAAGATAAAATTGAACAGAAAGTCTAGCTTGTGTCTAAATAAAAAAAAATATTGAGAAAGAAAGACAAGGAAAGTTTATAAATTCAAGCTATGAAAATGAAATTATAGTCTGGCAAATCTTATTCTGTGGAATTTTTAGGCACTACAGTTCATATTCCAGCTCCTAAAGAGGAGACACTAGATCCGTTTTAGGTGTCAATACGGAAAATACTGGGGAAGGATTTTTCCAATTAGGAACAAGAGGTGGTCGAATAAAACAATTGTACTCTAGATCTGAGTTCATTATAAGTTAATGAGAATTAATTTCCATTGAAGAAATTCTGAATATTCGCACAATGCTTCGATCTGTTGCAACACCTTAAAGTTGTGGCATTGGACAAAGATTTAAAAAGTGCTCGTGTAAAAAAATTTGCAATAGCAAAAAGTGTGCTTGTTTCAAAAATAATACGCATTGCAATTCAAAGTGTCATCACAGAAATCCTTGCTCTAATAATGAAAAGTAAAATAAAGGTATTTCATAAAATTTTAATTAAAATTCGATTATATTTTTTGTTTGAAAAAGTTTACACTATGTTTTGATGAAGCAAGTTTTTCTTCCCATCATGTATTTTTAAATAATATTTAAATATAACTATTTCTGTGACATATTCCTTTTTTCCCCTTTCTGCTCAACTAATGTTAGCAATATAAGCAATAATATATTATACAGTCAAAAGTCTTTAATCCGGAATGATCTATAATACAGACCTCAAAGCTAAAACTTTCTGCACATGCATAAACGCATGATGTGTTTACGCATGCGCATAATACATTTACGCATGTGTGTTTAATGTATAATGGCCGATATAAGCCAAGCTAAAATGATCTATTTCAGTTAATGTTGCAGATTGCGTTGTTTCTTAATCTTCTAATTGGATCCGGCTTATTATTTTTTGCAGACTGTTAGAGCAATTTTATAAAAGTAAGCTTGAACTTTCGATTATGTCAAAAAGAATTTCTGATTCTGGAGCTGCCAAAGGATCTACAAAGCGAAAGCATGTTCTGATGTCCATTAAACAAAAAGTGGAATTGCTGCAAAAAAATGAACAAAGGCATATCCTTTGTTTCTCAACCATTCTGAAATCTGTTTATCAATTCCACGCTGCTCTGCGGGTAGGGTACGGGACGTCGCAGCGCACAATGAACTGGAAGTTGATCTGTCAACACTATTCTTATCTTCAGGGCAGATGTTTTTATTTTATTCGGCTTATAATTCCTTATTAAATTTCATCTTGATGTGCTCCGTCTTTAATATAATTTAAATCAAATTCCTCGTCATTATAAATACCACAAATACACATCAAATAGTTTTCTGGTTGCAATTTTCTAATTTAGACTATGCGTAATGTATGCTTTATTCATGCGCGCGTTGAAATAAATGTTTAATAAAGTAAACAAATAAATATTAAGCTTTTTTTTGTAGATTTTGATACCCTTTAGATCATAATTGCTCTTTATTTCATAAATTATGGTTTCATATTTTTAATTTTATAATTTCTGCATGCCATCTTACCAGATTTAAACTGATGATCTATAATCCCGAAAAACTGATAATCCGGAATCGCCGAAGTCCCGACGAGTCCGGATTAAAGACTTTTGACTGTATCATGTGTTTTTCCTTATTATTTATAAATTAATCATCTGCAGTAGGGATAAAATGTATTTTTTGAGAGATTTTAGCTATTTTTGATCAATTAATTTACAAAATAATATGGAAATTATCTTTCCTCCACTTTAACAGTCTATCATTGTTTGTTTCATAGAGTAATAGGTAAAGTATGAAATTTTTCATCTATTATATACATTAACTGACATGTCTAGTTATTCTATGAAATAACTGAATTATACACTTTAACGGTAAAATATACATTTTCTTAGCACTGTAAATTACTAAGAGAAATTTTCATTGTTGAGAAATTATTCTTCAAAGGTATTAGTTCATCTCATATATTGTCTCATTAAAGTTAGTTCGTCTCATTCTTTTTTTTACACTCTAATTTTTTTCTCCCATTTTATTTCCAATCTATATCAACATATTCAAATACACTTGTAATTTTTTTTCATTTTTTGAGAAACAAGTCAATTCAAAATACTTTAAAGTAAATGAATTACTTGATAAAAGTTCCTCCGTTAAAAAAAAATTAACATTTTACTTTTTACATTTCTTATGCTTAAGAACTCAAATTAATTCAGTGAAGTAATTTGTAATGTTATCTGCTTCATAATAAAGACAAAGCCAGTCAAGGAAAATAGCAAGATGTATGAATTTTATTTTTGTAGTTGATGATGTGAAAATGTTTGTACACAACTTTATTCCTCAACATTCCAGTTCAAAAATTTGGGTGCAGTTTAAATTCTAACAAGTTCTAGGAATAGTTATTAAAAATACAGGTATTTTATTATTTCAACAGACTAGCTGGAAAAAATTAAACATATTCTAACAGACAATAACAAAACAAACATTTTACATTGGTCATGAGGATTTTAAAATTTGATCATATTTTTAATCTGCACCCAAAGAACATATCTTGCATTAAATAACAAGATATTTATAAATGCATGTACTGAATATATAACCAAAGTATTTATTAGCCTATTATTTTTATCTATATTATACAGACACCTGTCTGATTTAGAAACATTTCAAAATAATGTTTTAAGCAAAATCAGTTATGGCATCATATGAAAAAGTCAAATTATCTCTGACTATTCAGCCACAACTCTTAGTAAATTTTTATAAAATTATCAGAATACCTTATTTAAAATTATTTTCAAATATAATATCAAAGGACTTGCAAGAAGGTAAAAATTTTTAATTACATAAGAAGTTCATTATGAGTCATATGAGATTTGGCCCTAAGAAAATGCTCAGAACAAAAATTTTAAAAATACTAATTAAATAGGTTTTAAATTTTAAAAACAAAAAATTAGGAGAAACTGACAAAAACTATTGTATTTAATTATGACAGACACATGCCAGTCAGAAGTTCATATAATAAATGAAAATTTATATGAAATTACTCAGGCACACAACTAATAGATTTATAAGACCAAATTTCTTATACCTAGAATAAAATTTAAAAATTCCTAAAAAATTACACAAGCTTCCATTACAAATTCCAGATATATAAAAATTAGACCCCCCAAAAAAAGAAATGTTTTAATTGACTGTGAAAATACTTGGTTCAGTTAAAAAAAAATTCTAATGTATTTCATGTATTTTTATAATTTGCCTCTTTCAATAAAAATTAAATAAAGATCCTTTCCATAACTGCATAATAAGTTTAATAAAATATAATATACAGTACAATTAAATGATTATTATATATACAGTTGTATAATAAGTACCAATTTTACTTAAATGAATACTGACTTAAATGAATATATTAAAAAAAACAGCTACTTTTAGAGTTTTTTCGGTCCTATTATGTATTGTTCTTTTTCCTCCATATTTCTTTAAAAAAATTTTTTTAAATGAAACGACATTTTAATGTAATTTGGCTAAAGTTATTTTTAATACATTCAAATACAAATTTTATGAAAAAACTTGCTATAGAATAAATTTGCGAATTTTAAGGTAAGTTGTGCCTTTAAACTTACAAATTCTATAAAAATGGATTCCAGCTACATGTTTTGAACATTTCATGAGAAATAACTGAAATGCAATTCGCACATATAACAAAAGTATAACAGCAAAATAAACACATTTAATCTTTTTTTATTATTAAAAAGACATTATTATTTGACACATTACAACACAAAATATAATTTTCTAGCGATATTCAAGATGTTTTCAATCTTTTACTTTTGTATAAAACAAAAATAATACACAGCAGAGCCTTAACAAACATGAGGTACAAAAAGTATAACAAATTCACATAATGTACAAATGATTTTTTCCTCACGAATTAATGTTTTCTATTTAGGGCTTCCAATTCACCAGGGATTTAACCGACTATGGCCACTTAAAAAGACTGTTTTTAGACTCTAATTTTAGTGACATAGGTAATAAGTATTTCAAAATTTGATCATATTTTTAATTTCCACCAAAAGAACATAGCTTGCATTAAATAACAAAAATATTTATAAATATATGTCCTGTACATATTACCAAAAGTTTACGGAGACCTAACTGACTGAGAAAAATTTAACAAATTTTGCTGTAAAAATTTTTTGAAAGTCAAATTACTCTGTCTATTCAGCCCAATAACAACCACTTTACGGCACTACTAAAAGTTTACAACCACTTTTGTCATATAATGATTTAGATAATAGAAAAATTCCAAAACGGCAAAATGGAATAAATAACAAAAATAACATGTATTGTGATCAAATTAATATTAATATAATACTTCAGATAATTTATAATTTATGGTAATTAATAACATTTAACCAAATGATATAAAATGCATTAAAAATTCATGTTATATACACATCATATTCCTAAAAATTTATGTTTATTATGTATTTACTCCTTTTTTTTTTACAGTCCCCTAATTTTTATATATTAATGGGTTTAACTTTTAAGGTTTACTTTTGTAAACTTTATCAAACCGCTAAAATGCATAGCCAGAGTATAACTTTAACAGTCAAGTAATTAAATATAATGAAAAATTATTTACTATTTCCAAAGAGAAAATACTTAGGATTGGAAGCCCTACTTAAAAATCCCTTTGCATATCTATTACCAAACAAACATGCAAGATGTTAAAAGCAGATAGTCTGTGCATTATAGCCCAATTAGATACTTTTAAAATGGAAATGCTTGTTAATATTCTTGCAAGGTCCCCATTATTTATTAAAAGCAACTGATAGGAATAAAAACTTCAATCACACAAAATTAATTTAATGCTGAAAAGAAAGAAATTTAGTAGAGGATTTATAGGACTGTTGATACCGCTCAGCATATATGATCAATAAATACAGTAATACATATTCCAATATTGATACATATGGTAATTTGAATATAATGATAATAAATGCATTTAAATGTTTTAAGAAGGCACTTTACACATTAATAGTATAATACAACCATAATTACTGCCAAAATAAAAGTAGAATATAATAAATAATTAAGAATAGGAATGAAAGACATTTTTAGCCCTATAACAAGATTTTTCATTAATTTATTTTCTTTGCTCAAAACAAATCTCTTTGATCTCAAATAATCCACAGCTTTTGTTTTACATTACATGTAATTTGAAGAAATCAAAACTTTATTCATTTTCACCAACATACGAATTTTTTTTTAATAAATGTCAAGATACACAATAATTTAATAATGATTTACATACAAATTTCAAACCAACTTCTCTTTGGTCAAAGTTACCTTTAATGTGAATGTTATTTCAAAAAATGATCATATATGAAGGCAATCATTACAGCAATTTGGCAAAAATAGCTGGAGAATAAAATTTTATCACTTTTTAATTTGTACAAATTGATAATGTATATTTATTACAATTTTTGTATAAATCTGGCACAAAACTTCTAAACAAAGTTATTTCCAAAATATATAATTAGTCAATTAAAACATTTAATTTTAAAAATTTCTCTTAATGAATCAACATAATTTTAAAACCGAAAGAAATTTCAGTATTGGAAATATTTGTTAAAATACTTTTTAAACAAAGCCTTAACAAGAAGTAATTCCTGGCTAGTACCTCTTGTTGAGTGTTTTTCATTTTCTCCAAAAACTGCATTACCTAGTTTAAGAAATGGAAAGACTTCTGTTAATTAAAAAAGGATAGCTTTCCAGATTAAGTTCTTTTTTATATATATAGCTGCCAAAAATTAAATTCAAAATAATCGTAAGAAAAATCCTTAGAGCTTACTGGGCAAAACAAAGCAGCTAAAAAGTCGAACAAGGGAGTAAAAAAATCTAATATAAAAATATGTACATAGTCAAAATGAGTGACTCACAAATCTACATACAGCTAAAAATGCAGCTGCCCTGATTAGGTTTATGAATTGAAATTGTCATTTAACACGTAAAAACATAGATCCTGCTTCTAAACATGTAAAAATAAAGTCACTATGTTGATATAAAGAGGTTGGAACATTAAGTTCTTTTTGCAATCCAACCACTGTCACTGATGCAGATGATCTCTATATACAAGGCTGCTAGCCATTAAAATAGGCACTCGAGGGAAATGTCAAGGATGATGAATGGACGAAACAAAATACTGAATTTCAGTCTTTTACGAGTCGATAAATGTGATGCTGAGCTCCGTGTTCACTTGTTGAAACTTCAAATACATAAGCAATACATAGCAAAGTCTCTTGTGTATCTCTATTTGTCACTACCTGAAAGGTTTAAAAACAATCAATAAATGTAGAACTTTAATAACATTAGTTACAAATTAACTGAAATATTAGAAGAAATAATGAATATAATTCAAAAAATTTTTAAATGTGCACAATGTAATGTGGTAATGCAACCTTGGATAACCAAAAACTCAGATTAAATGGAAGGCCTATCAAGATAAAGTATTTTGAATGTAAAAAAGTTTATTAACATGCAGTGCCTAGTTAAATTCTCTTGCATATATTGATGAATTTAATATTGCTTAAAAACAAAGGTTACAACACATTTAGCTTTATTTTTATGATGCAAATTTTACTATATAACTATTACACAGAATGGTTTTGCTACAATACTCTTATTTTCCCATATCCTGCAGTTGTTGCAGTATTAATATGCCAGTACATATAATTTTAGTATGCACAACTGTTCTTCTGGTGGCAATTTGATCATCTGATTGAGTAATCTAAAATGGCATTCCACTATTCACATTGTATTTTTATTGAATTACATGGAAAATAGAATATTATACTTAAAAATTTTCTTTAGAATACGCAAAACATCAATTAATTGTTATTTCACTCTGTAAGCATACATCATTTTGCATAAAATCATGTTTGCACAAGACTCAATAAAATGAATCAAATTTAATAGTAACAAATGGTGGGCAAACAATCCCTGCTTAGCATTCAGCTCAACTGCAATACAGTTATTTTTCTGTTTTTCAGCGATCAATTCATGGGAGATCTACATTATTATTCACATTACAAAATGTTTTGACATAAACCAATGGAAAATTGGAACTTGTCCACTAGTTATATTTATATCTTTTCTAGTTTAATTTATGAAACACATTAAAAATCATTAAATTTAAATAAATGTATGTGTATTTTCCGGTTCTGGAAAGTAAGGGAAACGAATGATTTTTTATCAATGGTGAAAGGGGGGGTGTATGAGATAAAGATTGTCAACCACTGTATAGGATTTTCATGTTCTCTGGCTAATCAATTTTCAGGAAAACGTTACATAAGTAAAGATAGCAAGCTTGTAATTAAACAAGGCAATATAATATATTTCTTCTTAAAAGTAATTCTTAGACATAAATTTTGTAAATAAGATAACTCTACCCTTCCTGTCTGAAACATCCACATTCTGTCTCATCCACAATGAATTAATAAAGCGTACATAATTTTAGCACATTGTAAAATTTCTCATACATGAAATTAGACAAGGAGGGACATTTCAAATAAGATGTCTTGAAATCACTATCCTCCTAATACAAAATGATTTGTCATGCTGGCTAAAATGCAAGGAAAGTAAGGCTTCTTTACATAAATAAGAAAATATTTGAAATGCATTATGTATATGTATGAAAATATTTGAAATGCATTATGTACGTTTTAAATATTTGAAATGCATTATTACTCTTCCTATGGAATGGAGCTGCAAAACCAGCATTTAGAGAAAAGTTTTTAAAAAAAGTTGCAGAGACTTTATATGCTTTATAAATTACATTGTGCACACACACACACACACATATATATACATATAAAATAAAGTAAAGAAAAAATACTGTTTACACATTTTTATTGGATTTTAAGAACATATTTTTTTTTAAAATCTAAGATTTCAAATAAATATATTTGTTTCGCAAGCTCTTTGCTCTTCATTCCACTTTTGTAAAATAAAATCAAAATTATAATACAGCTGCCAAAATCTCAAGTCACATCCAAAAATTATTTTTCTATTGGGCCTCGTGGCATAATGCCACAATGATATAATGGCTAGTCAGTGAAGGCTCACATTTTCATATTATTGGACTGAGGTTCAAGTCTAGGATTACGTGGGTAATAACTATCACTTAAATTCCTTAGCAGCAAGGGTGTAGTTAAAATCTATACAGCTTGAAGTTCTCTTTAGAGTTTAGCTGGTGAAGAAAGTGCATTACATTTACAATGGTGCTTTAAGTCAAAACTAAGATGAATTTGGCACAGAGCTTTTGCAAGCCTTCCCTGAAATAAGGAAGTCAAAGTCTGATGTTTCAGATAACAATCAAATTTCAAGGATTAGCATATTTAATTATGACAAAACTCATTAGTTTTGTTCACAAAAGGTCTTCACAAATGTCATGCAAAACACAATTTTTTTTAATACACTAAAAGTTTCAAAATTTAGCTCTAAAAACAATGACATTTCAATAAGTGAGAGAATTTGTGTTCAAAACTGCCACTCTTTAAAATGCAAAAATGTATTAACAATCATCCATTAAGAAAAGGAAAAGGACTATATCAGGATTTATAGGTAGACATCCCCTGTAAAGTGACATCCATTAAAGTGATAGTCAATTTCATGCCACATAAATTTTATTGTATAATTATTATAGAAAACACTGTAACAACATTTCTTTGCATAAACAACAATGTGGTGTGTAAAGGTGGCATATTCACAAAGTCATTGATGAATCATCAAGGAAAAGAAGTCATGGCCAAAACTAACTAGACCAGAAGTTCTCAGCCAGGGAGGGGATTCACAGTTTTAGAGCAAGAAAGGTGGTCAGCCTTTTTATTTATTTGTTAGGCATTTCAATTACAAATATAAAAATCTACTTTCAAGATTTCATATTTACCAACTTTATATCTTTTCTAGTTTAATTTATGAAATACATTAAAAATTATATAAATTTGAATAAGTGTATGTATATTTTCCAGTTCTAGAAAGGAGGGGAAGGGAATGATCGTTTATCAATGGTGAATGGGATGCATGAGGCAAAGGCTGTAAACCACTGAATAGGAATCGTATGTTCTCTGGATAATCTATTTTTCAGGAAAAAAGTACATAAGTAAGCTAGCAAACTTGTAACTGAACAAGGGAATATAATATATTTCTTCTTAAAAGTAATTCTTAGACACAATAAACTGTGTAAACAAGAAAAATTTATTCTTCCTATCCAAAACAACCATATTCTGTCTCATCCATAATAAATTAATAAAGCCTACATAATATTAGCACACTAAAATTTTTCCAACAAGAAATTAGACAAAGAGGAACATTTCAAATAAGATGTCTTAAAACTATTAGTCCTTAAAACACAAAATAATTGTCATGCTGGCAGCAAATTAAAGGAAAGTTATTTTAAATTTACCAATAACAGATATGTGTTGTAAATTTTAATGTAACAGAATAAATTTCTGTTTAAATTTATTTAAATAAATGCATGATATAGATATCCAGAAAGATTTATCTGCATAGCACACTGAATAACCACAATATAATTTTGACAAAAAATTTCAGAGAATTTATGGATTATCATTTACATATTTTACTCACAGAAAAATGTACAGTTTATTTAAGGTTTGATTTTAACAGCCTTGTAGTTATGTGGATGTTATAATAATCAATATAAAAATACACTGCTATGAATTTTAAAAAGATCTAATTTAACAAAGAAGTCAAATGTAAAATTTAAAACTCACCTGAAGAATTGTAAAATTTTCTAAAACACTGTTCATCATATACTTTTCTGGCAAATGTTTTAGTTTGTGAATGAAATTAATCATATATTCACACATAGGTGATCTATGAATTCTGTACACAAACCTTCCATTTTCAAAACGTGCATACTCTGTCTGGAATATAAATTGTCAATGAGAGATGAAATTAAAAAAAAATATGTAATAAAACACAAAAATATACATATAGTGCTTGCATATATGTATAGGCACTTGCACAAATTTCGCTACATGAATATTAAAATAGAACAACATGAAACAAAAGTTACTAATATTATTAGAAACTGGCATGTAGGAGCATTTAGCCACTGGAAATTAGATTTAAATAGTTTAAAGTTTCATTTGGAGGGGGAGATAATAGAACAGATAACTAGAGCTAATATTTTAAAACAAAATTGATTCTGTTGTGATCTTTCAGACACCGACCAGATTTAAAAAAGGAAAAAAAATATATATATACTGGATCCATTCAGCAATTATGACCTCATTAGGGTATTCAATTAGTAATAATGAATTCATATATGATTAAGTATTTTTATTTACTGTATAAAATGAATATATGATCCATATAACATAGCAGTTTGTTAAGAGATGCATGGGGGAGAGCTTCCAAGCTCTGAACAGCCACACAAAATAATGAATTAATTACACTTTAAGCAAAACAATTTACACCCATAAATTTTTCTTCCTTAATACACCTATACAAAGCCTTTCATAACAAAATGCGCACATTTGATCAAAGAAATACATATAATAAAGAAAGGCTTAATTTCTAAAATTAGAAGTGGAACAAACAGCTTTATGAGAGGATATCCACCCTCAGAAAATCAAGATAAATAAAATTATAAATAATTAAATAAAATGTAAAGGGGAAAGTAAAAATTAAGAAATTAAATTAATGACAAATAGTTAAATAATAAAATAAAATAGTGGATTTCATCTTATTTGAAGCTCATGTTGCAATTACAAACTTAACTAAAAATATCAGCATAAGCTCCAGTGGATTACTACTTCCACTAAATTTAGGCTGTGAACATACACTATTTCAAGGGATGGTAGAAACAGAAATCATTCTGTTTCAGTGCTCTAATGAATAAAAGTAAAATGTTTAAAATACTGCTAGAGAACAGTGAGAATAAAAGAAATGAAATAAGAACAAAGAAAAAACTGAACAAAGCCTTGGGTTAGAAAGAGAAGAATCACTTTCCTCCACAGGTTGCCTGTGGATATAACTATAGCTGTCAAGCAGAATGTGTGACAGAAAAGGGGAGCTGCCTCCAAAATTGCAATTTGTATGTATGCTTAAAACAAATTTAAGGTTCTGTGTAAGTTACCATTTTTATTCACTATACTTGGTTACATCTATCTGAAATCTGCAGGTGCTCAATTCATGCACTACTAGCATATGTGTTAGGCTAGTTTTCTCTTGGAGCATATTTAGGAACATAAATGATGGTTCGCCTTGCCATTCAATTATAAACTGTGGATAACCGGAACCACCAATATCAAATGATTGGATGTAATGACTTTCAGAAATCGGAAATCATCCATTCCCAAACAAGCTGGTATGTTTCACTTCCTGAAGGGATGAGGTAGTTTTTCCCCTTGCCTTAACCCTTTCGGGCACACTACTCTTTAAAGTTGGAAGCTTACCAAAAACATTTATAGGCAGATTTAGGCCTAGGATGGTATGCATGTACAATTTTGCAAATATTGCACATGTTTTGTGGGTATGTCCGAAGCGAACACACTGAGCCGCATGAGCTGCAATAGGTGAGCATTGCTGTGAAGCACGCATTACAGTAAAATACTTTGTCTATGATTTAAAAACAGTAGAATCTGATCTCTGTAGCAGATTTAGCATAATCCAGGGTGCAACCATGGGGAGGCCTGCTACTCTACATCCCAACCAAAAAAAAACTGGGGAAAAAAAGGAAACTCTCATTGCTTCGGCAATGCTGAGGCGTCTCTGAGCCATTTACACAATTTTAAAATTTATAAGAAAAATAATTAAAATACTATAATATTTACATTTAGTTATTGACTATAAAAAATAATTATTAAATATATATACAAATAAAAATCTACAGAAATCAATACTAAGCAAACTACTCACGATGAAAGCAAGAGAAAAAAAGGGTCTGCTCTCGCTGAAAATCAAATAGCTAAGTGAAAACAAAGCACATCGGGGTCTTCAAAACCAAAAACAAATATAAATAAATCTACACTCTCAGCCTCAACGTGTTTGAAGCATGAGACCAGATTCTGTGACTAACTCCCACGTGACAGGTGCTGCCAGTACAGTGTAATCAGTTCGAACACACCATCCACTGAAGGCTTCACTGTATGCATTATTTCAAAAATAAAAATTTAAAGTAATACAGAATAGGCAGATTAGCATACGAACAACAAAATTATATAAAGATTTTTTTCATTGATTTTCTTAAAAAAAAAAAAAATCTGAAACATTTCTTTGAAAAATCAGTGTCTTTAAAAACAGAATATATCTCAACATTAATTATATGTTTGTGTGGTGCTGCCATCTATTATTCATAAAAGAGATTAAAAGTAACCATTAGTGTTATTTTTGTGATATTTATCGATTATTTTCAGTGTCTAAAGAGGGAATATTTTTGGTGTGTTCACGCCGAACACATTGCACCGGAAAGGGTTAAATATCTCACCTTCCATCCAAAGGTTTGTTTTTCAGGAACACAAAAAGTTCATTCAATAGTTACTATTGATTTCCAAATCTTATTGCTAAAAAATTATGAGATCAAAGAATTTTCTCTTGAAATTGTGGTCCAATTCCATAAAAAAAGAAGTGCCACAGTTACTCCTTTTTAGGGCTTCAGTGCTCACCAGCTACAATTACGATTTATTTTCAAAACACAGAAGTACTGGAATTGGATTGCAGTAAACACAAAAAAGAATTACCTATATTAAATTTCGGTATGAAAGCCAAATTCAGTAGCAATTTACTTAATTTCAGAAAAAGTTACCCCATTTTAATTATAATTCTTAGAGATAGACGAATTTAAAAATTTCTTTACCTCAACTTTCTCTACAACTTGCTTCCCAAAGGAACAAACTTTAGTAGAGCATGTAATAGTCATATTGTCATTACTTTCATACCTTAAAAAAGAAACAAAATACACTAATCAATTTCAATAAACATTATTTAATGCAAAATAACATTTATTTTTTTATAGCATCATAAACATATATCCTTAAAAATACACTATTTGCACTGAGAGATATGAGAACTGAATTCAATAAACACTTTTTTAAGTTTATGATTTTTTAAATATAGAAAATAAAAGATTCATACTGGCTTGTTACTCCATAAAATGCTCCTGCCTCATCCTGAATATTAGTGTTCAAATCAGCCTGTAATGCAAATCAGTAACGATTAATGCAGTTAACAACTAGCAGAACAAAAAATAAGTATCTATCAGCAGTTTTTTTTATACATAATTTTAATGCAATTTAATTATGTTACTTTTACTTTTTCTAAATTTCATTTTCTTACAAAATACTTTTATATTTAAATTACTTTTATACTATCTTTCTAAAGTTAAATGCTAACATTAATAATAGCAAACTAAAAATAATAACTAACAAATTTTTGTGGAAAAATGAATAAAATACTTGCGAAAAAAATGGATTTTTGTAAAAACATTTTAGAATTCACTCTTAAAATTCCTTTAACTATTACCACTTACTATTTCTGCTTCTAATGTTGTTTAGATTAAGCAGTGATGAAATAGTCAAAGGCCAGTGGTAAGCTGAAGAAGTCTTATATGAGCCCTTTGTTAAATTTCTTTCTAATTTGCAAGCCCTCGTTCTTTTTGTTTCAAGAAAAATGCATATCTTTTCCACAGTAAAACTTTGACTTATTTAAGTTTCCCTCTTCTTGTGAATTAGAGTCTTATCACATTTAATTTCAATTTGATTATATCCATAAAAAATAAACTTTAAACAGTCGAGACAAAATGCGGTTAGTTTACAACAAATTTATTTTGGGGAATCAATACAATAGGATGAAGTTGCTTAATATTCCATCAAATGATCAAGATACAAGACATTTGACAGGACAATGCATTTCATACTTAACTGGAAAATTTTAAGAGAATTTAACTCTATGTAAAAACGTTTTTAGAAAAACTGTCACTCAACCTTAGAACTTCCCAGAAGATCAAATGAAATGACAGAAGAAAATAAGGTCTCGCATGCTTTCAGCACAAGCTGTGTCACATATTTAAATTTACTCATTATTTTATGTAATATCCATAACGTGTTTTTTAACTCACACAAAACTATTTGCATTTTCTAACATTTAACTAGAATTTGATCTTTTGCTTCTGTAAGATACAGAGGGAGCCCTTTGTTAACATTTTCATAGCTTATCACCATTTTAAAGCTACCTAAAATATATCCCATTTATAAATTAATCATATGTTTAACATGTGAATAAAAACAAGAATGCAATAACTTTCATCAAAATTCACATTCATGCATGCACAGCTAATAATTTGATTTAGTAATACAATACATTATGCATCTACAATTACTTCTCACATCTTTAAACTTTTTAAAAATGTTACATACCCAGAATTTAATTAGAAAGAAAGCATTTTGTGGCCCTTTGTCATAGAGTTCTTTTAGTCCTCCTTTCTTTTCTGGAAATTTGTCATATATTTGCCTAATATCTACAGCCTATAAAGAAATATTTTATTTTTACTTCTGAGACATAAAAAGATGTACAATAAAATGTGCAAATTACATTGATTAGTTTATTATCTTTTTAAAACAGAAAAAAAAGAATAATTAAATTTTGATAAAAAAATTTAATTGTAACATATTTAAATGCCCCACTAATTAAAATAAATTAATTTAAATGTACCTTAAACTTTCAAATTTATACAGCAGTGAATTTTATTCACAGCATACTAGAAAATATAGAGAAAGTAACTTTCTCTCACCCATATATAAAATAAGGATTAAAAAACGTTATGTACAAAAATTACCTCCAGTAAAGGATCTGTATAACTAGGTAAACCTCCTATATGTACAAATAAGTGTTTGTGATACTGAAATAAAATTAAACATACTTTTAATATAGAGAATCATTACACACACAATACATATATGTTTGCTATAAGAAAGATTTAGGAAAAACATCTTACATTTTCAGGGTCACGTTGCTGTTCCATAAATGCAGACAATTCAACAAGTCTTAATTTATGAGTTGCAATGGCCCTTCCTTCCCAGGGGGGTATAGATGGTGTGCTTAACAAATCTACACCAGAAACTGGAACTGTGACAGGTGGCTTATGTCCTATTCCATATGGCTGACTAACAAATGGCTTAATACTAAAATATAAGAACAATGTTTTAAGCATGCATTCCTGATGAACAATCATTTAACTTTATCATTTCACATATTTAAACCCAAACAACAGCCTACAGCTAAGCATCAGTGTTTTTCAATTCCATTAGTTAACTTTTGTTGAACTTTGCCAAGTACCAATTAAAAGGATTAGGTAAAACAAAGAAATCAAACTAAGTGGATTATCATAGCTAACATTACATAAACTGTAAATTATTGCAACTAATATTAAATAAATAATAAATTGCATTTTACATTTCTATAAATTGCTATAATTTTGTTTGCAATATATAAACAAAAAAGCTGCAATTCACACGATTACCGAAATTGATTCAAACAGGTTATCATGTAAGATATGTTGAAGAATGTCCTGCTGTCTGGCATGAAGACAAATTCTCTAAAATACTCATTTTGTGGTATGAACTAGACATGTGCATATTGATTCAGTAGAAAGCATTCTTAATTAAAACACACAAGACTATGATTCACTCAATATTAGTCTCTCAAATTAAAAAAGGGGGGAGGGGAAGAAAAAAGTTTTGAATAATATAGCAACATTCTAAGGCTGCACATAACAGGTTGTTTTAGTTCACTAAGCAAATTCTTAAAAAACCTGACCCAAGGATTTGGCTTGCAAAAGTGAAAGAAAGGAAAAATTCATATGTCTCCATACTGCAGAAACTGCAAGAGTTTTATTTCAGTAACATGAACTCAGAAATGACAAGAGCCCAGTTTCACTAAAAAAAAAAAAAAAAAAAAAAAAAAAAAAATCACATGGCAAATGAATCAAAATCTCTGTGGCTGAAATCAATGGCTTGTAGACATGTGGTTTACCTGTCAGAGAACATTAGTTTTCATAACACATATTTGTTAATTGAACCAAAATAATGAATATCTTGATTTAAAATTTTCTGCTTGGAAAGTCATGACCCATGTCATTCATGTGACCATTTTTTAAGATAGAAAATACAAATTACACATTTATAATTACCGACTCCCCTTTTCAATCGCTAGTTACATTTAGGATATTTCTAGCATGATGCGGTATACTCCCAGAAGTTCAGTGGCCAGATTTTTCTAAGATCATGTAAAGGATTATGGTAACCAGGGTCTGCAGCTCTGAACTTCTTACAAGGCATGCTGAAGAGATGCATCAATTTACATCTAAAGAGAACATTTTTACTGCAACTGACATGATCAGCCACCCTTAGTTTATGTAGGCTTTCACATATGTGCATCACTGAGTTACCTGATGCCTATAAGAAAATAGTCACTTCCAATACTCTTGGGAAATGTCTAATGTACATACTGCAAAAATTATATTTTTCTACCTTGCATAGCATGCTTATATAATGGACAAAAATTTAGGTCCTCTTATAAGTTAAGCATCCTTGCAACTATTTCTTTAATCCTCCTGATAATTAGACATAAATCTATATATGACTAAAAGGCTTCAAGATTCTTATAATTATTGTCTCTCAGAATTCATTACTTATCTACTTAGATTACTTCTACTGTCAACTGCAATACTAAATACTGCAAAGAAAAAGAACTGAATCTTTTATACAGTCAAAAGTCGTTAATTCGGACACCCATAACCGGACCTCAAAGCTACAAACTTTCTGCGCATGCGTCGCGTTCACGCATGCGCACAGGCGTTTATGAGAGCGCGTAAGACCCTTACGGCTGCGAATATGTTTGTGCGCATGCGCGTTTAATGTGTAACGGAATTATACGCTAAGCTAAAGTTATCTAATTCAGTTAATGTTGCAGATTGCGTTGTTCCTTAATCTTCGAATTGGATCCGGCTTATTATTTTTTGCAGACTGTTAGAGCAATTTTATAAAAGTAAGCTTGAACTTTCGATTATGTCAAATAGAATTTCCGATATATATTTACTACAAAGCGAAAGTATGTTTTGAAATCCGAAATCTGTTTATCAATTTCACGCCGCGGATTGGAAGTTGATCTGTCAACACTATCCTTATCTTCAGAGCAGATGTTTTATTTTATTTGGATTATAATTCTGTACCAAGTTTAGTATTTCATCTTGATGTACTCCGTCTTTGATATGATTTAAATCAAGTTCCTGGTCATTATAATTCGCTTCCGATAGTGAAGAAAGTGACCCAGAGGTTATTGAAAACAAAAACATTTCGATTGACAAATTAGTCGGTATTCTCAACACAGCAATTATAGGACTTGAACAGCGGAACTTTGTAACTAAACAAGAAATTATGTCTCTTTAATAGAATTAAAGAGAAAGTATTATTACATGAAACGAAGCAACTTACATTGAAGGAAATGTTTAATAAAGTAAACAAATAAATATTAAGTTTTTTCTTTTTGTAAATTTTGATACTCTTTAGATCATAATTGTTCTTTATTTCATAAATTACGGTTTCATATTTTTAATTTTGTAATTTTTGCATGCCATCTACCAGATTTAAACTGATGATCTATAATCCGGAATCGCCGAAGTCCCGACGAGTCTGGATTAACGACTTTTGACTGTATATATTTAGCAGAGATATGTCTATCATTTTCAATGCGGATACAAAAATATGACATAAAGGTACTTCAACATATCATTTTACTAGAGTAGTAAAAACATAAATCAATACAGTTAAGGTTTGGGAGAAAACTGACCAATCTCAAGAAGGCTTTCCGCCTTCATGAAATATTTAGATTAGATTAGGATCATGAAATATTTAGAAAAATTACATCATAACTATAACAGGAGTTCCTTCCTTTTCTGTTTTGGCTATAATTATTATTAATTATTATTTCAACAACAACACTGATGCCTGCAATTTATGCTTTCATTAATATGTCAAAAGATCACTTACTCTTCAGATGTCCCAGGCTGGGTAATACCTGGCTGCCAAAACTGTAAAGAGAGATCAGGTTTAAAATAAGAAAACCACAAATAACTATTTTCATTAAATTTGAATATAATCTGAATAAATCTTGAAATTTTTCATATTCAAATAAATAAGCCTTAGTAATAATAGCCTTAATAAGCCTTAGTATAGAATTCCAATAGCAAAAATTTCACAAATATTTCTCATTATAATTATGAAAACTAAGCATATAACTCATTTAATAAGTATTCTGACTATAAAATACTAAGATATTTAAGAAGCATAAATGATACACATCTGGAAATTAGGGATATAATATATTGTTTGTCTAAGTAAGATTTCTACCTCCAAAACAGCATTAACCCTTTGGCCTACGAGTCTGACTCGTGGTAAAGAATTTGTGCCATAAACAAAAGCCCTGAGTCTAGAATTTGTGCATAAAATGCTACGTGTTATTATGATTCTATGTCAAATATTTTCCCTTTGATTGCAATGTCAGTATTTTTTTTTTTTTTTTCCAGTTGTTTCTCACAAAACTGGGTGCTCTTTTACTTTAGTTCCCCGTAAAGCTTCGTTACATTGACACGTTTCAAATATAATTTCGTATAAAAAATTAAAAATCTCTTATACCCATCATGCAATTATTTTTGTTAACTGATCAATTGATTATGATTACACCCTAGACATCTTAAAATTACTATTTTAACCTAAACTTTGCTTATTATTTCACAGTTCCTTTCGTTACATTGAAATACGAGGGCTGTAAATTAAGTAACGGCAACATAGGTATAAATCAATTTTTAATGAACTTACAAGTACAATTGCATTACATTCCTTCTATGTAATCACCAGCAAAGCTTACCTTTTGCCAAATGTCAGGAAGCCGTTGTAGATCAGTGGCAGGGTGTTGATTGATGATGTGAGTGACCGAGCATCCTACTGCATGGAATACAGACGAAACATCATGAAATTGTTGACCTTGGAGGGGTTCCTTCAACTTCGGAAACAGATCAAAGTTACAAGGACTCATGTCGGGTGAGTAGGGAGGGTGTTCCAGGATTTCCCACTGCCACCGTCGCAAAAGGAGAGTGATATTGTTTGCGACATGGCAACGAGTGTTGTCATGCAATACGATAGGGAGACTGTTGTGCAATAAACGTGGACATTTGCGCCTCATAGCCGGACGCAGATGGTGCTGTAGAAATCGGCAATAGTAATCTGCGTTGACAGTTTGGCCTTCAGGTACAGCATGAGTAAGAATCACACCGTCCCAGTCGTATGCCATAATCAGCATAACCTTCACCCGACTGGGTTCCTGTCGAAATTTCTGGGGACGTGGAAAACCTTGGTGATGCCATTTATTTGAATGACGCTTTAATTTAGGCTCACGCCCATGTCTCATCAACTGCGACAGTACGCCGCAGAAATGCATCTCCTTCATTGCGGTATCTCTCCAAATGGGTGCCAGCCAGTGCATACTGGTGCCATTTCTGTACTGGTTAGTCGATGTGGAACCCAGCGGGAAGCAATTTTCCTCATGTTGAAAGACTTCTTCATTATGCGCCACTGTTTGATGACTCAGACCAACCTCTAAGGTTAATTCTCGGACAGTCCATCGGTGGTCTATGGTAAGGAGAATGCTCAGGATGTCAATCTGCTCTTGAGGAATAGAGGGCCGACCTGTGCATTCCGCAGTCTTATTCCGAGACCCGAACGAAATGCTTGAACCCATCGTGCTACTGTCCTATACGGTAAAGCATTTGTGCCACAGGCTTCCACTAATCCTCGATAGCATTCTGTTGCATTTTTGCCACGGGCAACCTTGATTTTAAGCCATGACCACTGATCACCTTTTGAAAACATGCTTTAGAGTGATGGAAACGAAACTGCTCACTTTAACGCCACACAACAACTACCCTTTTAAGCAGATCAACTGATTTTTGCACTCTACACATCAACAACAGCGCCACCTCACCGCTCCCATATCCTATTTGTGCATGCCCGCCCTTCTGTGAGTTTCAAGGTTAAGTTGCCACTATTTAATTTACAACCCCCATATATATGTCATGAAAAGTATACATTTTGCGTTAGTTCAGGTACATGGGTGAACAGTTGAATGGCACAGCACACGACTGACTTTCTTGTTTACTATAGCTTGCGCAATTGGCAGATATCATGTAGGCCAAGGGGTTAAAGATTTAACCTGAACTGAACGATTTATTTGATTTTCTGAATGATTTATTGAACTGCATTTATTTTCCTACAAACCTATTATTGCAGTAATATACAGTCTTTATGCTTTTCTTTCAAACCTATAAGTAAATAGCGTTTATTTAAATTTTTAAATCAGTGACTCTACAATGGCTATCCACCCTAAGAGATAAAAGTGGTTCTAAAAAGTCTGAAGCAGACTGATTTTGTGAAACTCAAAATATTAGGCAATATTAAAAATATACATCTATAATGGTTGCAAAGGTCTGAATTTCTGACAATGCATTATACTCTTTATAGCTAGTCAATCTTTGTCTCCTTAGAATAGGATGCTTAATGTCTGAAATTCCAAAGAGTTAAAATTTCTAACATGCTTCACTATAATTTTTTTTTTAAACAGGGTTGCCACTCAAACAGGAGAATAAAATTCCCTGACTTTTCCTAGGTGTGTTTTAAGAAAATTCCAGGCTATCTACATAGTGCACATTGCTGTGCTAAAGGTAAATTAATTTTGGTACTACTAGAAAACAAAAAAATTGCCAATTATATATAACTTTATATATTATACATATATATAATCCTTAAAGCATTACTTTTATAACTATAGAAAGAATTGTTTTCTCCACTGGAGACAGATTAGAATCTGCCCAATTGTGATATAAAAATTTCTTTTCTGCAGATATTTTGCAGGTAAAGGTAGAAAGAAATACATTTAATGATATTTTTAAATAAATTCAGTTACTTAATACTTATTTAGCAGCAAAAAATATGTGCACTAAATTTCGTGGTGGTATGCCATATTACAGCTACAATTAGTTTCACAAGTATGCCAGAGAAAATTGCTTGAAATTTGAAAGCATTATTAACTAATAACATTAAAGTTAATAAAAACTGAATTGCAAAAATTGAGGGTATTTTGGCGAATATGGATGTATTAAATGGTTAGCCTAGATGACTGATTTGTATATATTTTATTATTTTACTGCAAAATGACAGATAACGGCACTTAAGAAAGAAGAAAAGGCTTAAAAGTGTTTGTTTTTAAGAGAATGGGAGAGGGAAATCTACTTTCATTCAACATGTGCATGCGAATCTCTGGATTCTCGAGGTTACTGGAAACTAAAGATGCTGGAATCTTGCTTTGCCTTTCGAAAAGATTGGCGCTGCAAAAACTGGCTCTATGCCAGCTGTCTGACTGGTGCTTACGCCATACATGATCCACCAGGAAAGTGATCGCTTCCAAAGGAAATCACTTTTTTGGGGGGATCACAGCATGAAATTCCCTGACTTTTCCAGATTTTGACTAAAATATTTAAGTTCCCTGACTTTTTTAGTCAATTTTCAAATTCCCTAACTTTTCCTGGTTTTCCAGGTAGTGTGGCAACCCTGCTTAAAGAGTAACTTTAAATTTCTTAGACTTGATCACATTTAGTCTAAATAAGCCTGACTTTAAAATAGTTTATAATAATTCTTTTCAGCTATTTTACTGCTAAATGTAAAACTTCTACATTAAAACTATTATAATAACAAATCTTGAAAAATCTTAATACTGTTATTATGCACAAAGAAAAAAGCCTAATAACTCTATATATATTTTTAGCTTACTGGTGTCCCAGGATAGTTGACAGGTGGCACAAGTGATGCAAGTCCAGCAGCTGCAGCCTTGTTGTGCATGGCAGTGGCAGACACGATCTGGGCGGATGAAAGGGACGTAAGTGACTGGAGGGCCTTCTCCTTTGCAGCTTGGTCCTGGGAGTAAAACAAAGACACGATCTGAGCTGACGACATGGAGGACATCGACTGCAGTGCGGCTTCCTTGGAAGTTTGATCCTGCTGAAAATAGATGATTACAACCGTTGATGGCTAGTGGTGCTGAAGGGCCACTGAAACAATTGCCATCTTCGGTTGTATACTACCCACCACTAGACTGTTAAGCGGCTTTAAAAAGCTACATGCTTAATGTTAAGTTTTTATGCATCTAAATGCTAATCTATTTTTCCAAGAAAGGCAGCCCAAAATTGTTAGTTTCAAAGACAATCTTATCATTTGAAAGTTATGCAAAAGTTACTTTGAAAGTACAAACACCCAACAAAGTGAAAAATCTATCTTAAAGCCAATGTTTTCCAATGAAAATTTTTATTAATGTGTCCATTTCAAATGATTTAAAATCATCATCACAAAAATATCAAATTCCACTTAATCTTTACTTTGAAAAATATCCATACAATTCTTATGTTGAAATTTTAGAATCATGAGGTGTTCATTAAATTTCTCTGTTATAGATTTTAATACAGCATTAAATTTAAAAAGTTAATTTTATCGAACTTTATAACAGCACATTTTAAGCAATGCAATCATTCTCCATAGCCTTTCCAGTGTCAGGAATGTTATGAGCATTTTGAATAATTATTATAAGGAAATGTTCATATTATTAAATAAATTTCATATCTAACAATTCATTCTCAAACATATTATCTAAAATTTTAAATTAAATATGCATATCCTAATACTTTATTCTCAGCTCTTACTCCTTTCTCTCTCATCAAAGGCTGTTCAGTACGGCTGAATATTAAATTGCTTTTTAAACTATTAGCTGCTGCTATTTCATTCAACAGGGACAGAGTTGTTCCATATTAGGGCATGATATTATGCTATGTCCATTATGAATTATACTAGAATGCATTACTACTGTACTAGTATGCTTATTACATTCGTTTTGCTGTATTATAAAACAATACAGTAATATAAAGCTATTTAGTAGCATATTCTAAGCTATAAAAGGAAAGCTGTTCAGGTAATCGCACAGTTTCAGGAAAAAAAAAAAAAAAAGGGCAGAATGTCAAAACACTTGAACCTGGGTGATCAGTTTCCTTCTATTTATTATGAAAATGTAGAAAGTGGCTTATTTATATTTCCATCTAACTCAATATGAAATGCATTTTATCCCTTGTTTTCCATATTAATCAGCAAAAAATAGTCATAATTATGAGAAGTCATAATTACATAAAAGTCTGCCGCCCAGATGGTATAATGGTTAAGGGAGCTAACTGTGATACTGAAGGGCTCAGGTTCGAATCCCGGAGAAGGCATGGATGTAAATTGTCTGTTCCCTCACAGGACGTAACGGTGGCCACCTGTTAGGTGCCTCCATAATAAAATGACTACCACTTCTGGCCTTATTAGTAGCCAAACCCTAAAAGTGGCTAGCATCCAGGATTAAAAAAAAAAAAAAAAAATCTAGCAACCATACTTTAAAATTCCCATTACAAAGTATTCTGCCAATCTTAAAATGTCTGTTGACATATTATTTTTTGGTATATTAACAAGGAAATAAGCTACATTATTAAATAATTAATATATTAATGAATTATAAATAAAAAATTTCCTTACATTTACCTTCAATTTGGTTTGTATCTCACGAGCTTTCCTTCTAGCAAGTACTTGAATATGACTAGATACTTGTTTGCGTGTACGTGTTTTTCCTGTTCTTAATTTTATATATCGTGCAATTAACTCATTTCGTCCTGAAAGGATAAATAAAAAGCAATGTCAAATTAAATTTAACTAAAATTCATATGTGATTAAAATTATTAACATGATATATAAAATATGTCAGAAGAATTTCTATTAAACAAATGAGTTTAAAAAAATGAATATTCCTATGCAGTCACATTTTCTATAAACATAAAGCACACACTTTGAAAATAATCATAGGATGATGTGAATATAAATAAAATGGCTTGACATAAGTTTCTGCATCTTTTTGTAACATTTAATACAAACTCACTGAAATACTTTGACAGTTGAAAGCTAAGTATAATGTTTTCACACTTATATAATATTTCGGGAATAAAAAATCAGTGGAAATAAAACTTGATAAACTTATTCAATAAAGCAATGTAAACATAATAGAAAAAAAAAAGTATTCTGCCAATCTTAACTTTATTATGCAAATGTGACTTCAGTTGTTTCAGAGCTGTAGCTAGGGTTTTCAGTGCCCAGGGACAACTTAAGATTTTGCGCCCCCTTCTGTATGCCAAGAATGAAAAAATTTCATTTAAAAATTTTGTAACATCAATTTTATACACCATGGATGTTGCACCCGGGGACAGATGTCCCCCTTGCTATGCCCCTGAGTTTTTCATAAGGAAATGACAAAGATCAGACAGGGGGCTGAAAAAGGATGGTAAAGAGGTAATCTATTACAGAAATGCATTATCTTGCTTTTATTTTCCACTTACAGAGTAAAGCTTCTGCAGCTCTTTAATACTCCTTTTATGGGATTGATGGAAAGAAGTCTCCTTTCCTTGGAAATTGTTATGTATGAATATGAATTTATGGCTTTCAAGAATATGCAGGATGATGTATCTGCATCTTTTACAATTAAAAAAATATACTGCAAATATGGAGCTCTGCATGTACGTTCAACACTATGCTTATCCAAAATGGTCCCTTTGCTATAAGAATGTAATGTTACATATTCTTTGTTTCCTCTACATACAATAATGCAAAAAGAATCCATCTACATACTGAATATGATTTATCAATGAAGAGAACTATGCTTCAGTGTGCAATGCTCCTGATTCCACTGTGAATGATGTGCAAGCTTGCAATCAGAGGACAAACTGCTGGACATCTGCATAATAAAGTATCAGTTGAAACTGGGTAATTACTGTATACTTCATATTTACTCTGCTGCATAATAAACTTTCAAAATAAAGACGGCTAGCATTCATCTTAATCAATGGATTAATTTTTATGCAAGATTAAAAAAAAATTGTGTAATTTAATCATGCTTGGAAGTTATGATTTAAAAAAAAAACACTTCATGCATATATTAAAATTCTGCTGTAAACTTGGTCAGACTGCTTTAAAAACTCATGAGTACTTAAATGCACTTCAAAAACGGCTAAATATAAATAGGAAATTGTGAATGTTCTGAAAATTTATTGACTAGCATAACCTTAAACAGCACAGCAAAAGAATGTAAAATCATTGGCAGAGCAACATGAAATAGGATTTACCCTATGGCCAGCCACCAGATTACCTTATGGCATATGTCAGTGAATTTTATTTGATGAACTGCACATGGAAAGCACACTGCTTATTAGCCTGAGCCATGAAAATGTTTGCCATGCAGCAGTTCTTGGCATCCTACAACATGACATTTTGTCCTCACTCACTAAATTTACTTCATAGTGACTACTTCACACAGTTGAAGATCAGAAAAGGAAAAAGATTTCACTGGGGTGGGGGAATCCACGATGATGTGCATTTGGTCCTGAATAGATGAAAAAAAACATGACTTTTTTAATGTTTCCTAGTCACAAAAATAGCCTGCGGCCAAATGTTTGCATTGCAATAGAAATATTTTTAAAAGTTACAGGAAAAAACATAATGCATTAATACAGATTTTAAAAGAAAATGTTTAAGTAGCATCTTATACGTGAATTTCTTATAGCTTCCAGAAAAGAAAAAAAAAAAAAAAAAAAAATCCTACAGTGGATGTCAGCTTCAGAAAGAGTTGCCATGCATATATCATCCTGAGATGACAAGCAGTTAATGCCTTCTGTTAGAGTGCAACTAACTGTTGAACAATCAAACTTCTCCCATGTTCTGGTATCTTCTTCACATCCTAAACCTGCATTGTGGCACAGTGTTTTGAATTCTGAAAACAAGTCCTAATTCCTTTATTCAAGTTGGGAGAGGGTGGAGAAAAGTCAAAATGTCCATGTCATATCTTTATGTTACGAGTTTCTGCTCTGCAATTACATTATTTTAGACATGCATGATATGACCAGTTTTATTTTTAGAGTTGCAATGAGGATATCTGTGTACTGTCGACTGATAAAATTTTGATGTGTAAGGGCACTGGTTTAGATTAGTGTGTAACTTGATGAGATATCTGCTGATTTGTTTGCATTATGCATTTAATTTGAACTTTTTATACTTTATGCCTCATTACTGCATACGTATCCTCTCAAGGACTGATAGAAACTTTATCATTTGTTTGAAATAATGATCCATTTATTGCAAGTTTTTAATTCAATCCAACATAGTCCACTAGTTCCTTTTAAACATAAATGTAATGTTTTCTAACAAAATTTTATGTTTTACAATAAATCTTTTTACTGTTATCCAAGTGATTCAGCTCTTACAGTTAAAATAAGCATCTTTTTCTTTTAAGCCTCTTGTGTTCACTTAATAAAGGAATATATCATTAATGTTTCTGAGCACTGCAATAAATTTATGAATGCATTGTCAATTTTTGTACCTAAAATAATTAAAATTATTTAAAATTAGCCCATTCAATTCACAAAAGAAAATTTGAATTTAGTCCCTATATTTTAAAGTAACTGATGTTATTGATGTAACATGATATTAAACTGACAGTGTGCCTGTGTATATCATGCTTCAGATTATAAGAATCTTCCAGTTTCTCTTCTGCAAACAGCAAATGTGGACACATAAGCATAATAAAAAATATATTTTTTTAAAAATGCCTTATTCTAAAATAGTCATTTGTTATCTAAAAACCAAATAAATAATCATATGTTGTAATTCCCATGGATCCAAATGGAAATTATTAAAAAAGTGCAGAATTAACGGTGAAAGTATACTCCATATAAATAGAAGGGAATTCAAGAACTTTTTTTAAATTATTTTATTTTTGATTGATGCTGCTCACATTCATCCCTTAATCTTACTTTTAACTAACTGAACAGCAGATATTTTATTTTAAGCTCTGCACGCAATGCACAATCCTACGGTCTTCAGAAGATTAATCAGAATACTAATCTGAATAAGAAATACACTGTATTCGCTGAAGATAATTAACGTAGTGATGCGACATTAAAGGTAAGAAGTAACAAATATCTTCCGCCTAAGTTAGTTGGTCATGTTTCACGGAAATGGATAGAGTTAATAAATTGGATTAAGAAACTGCGTATACGTCGAAAAAATCTTAAAAATTATATATAAAAAAATAAAACAAAAAAGCCATAAGAATAATTAGACATACAAGGACCTCCACTGAAAAGACAAAAACAAAAGCCAAAACAACTAACTAAAAAAGATTGTACAAGCTTTAGCTTTAGGAGAGCACCACAACACGTAGATGCACACTGTTCCCCATCGAGCTGGGGGGCTTTAGAGGAAAAGATATTTATTTTGACAAGCCATCAAGGAACCCCCTCCACCTTACTCCACAAACAGTTCTCCGTCACTGCTTTTAATACTTTTACTCCCCTCCCCATTCATTCTACGCTCACGAGAGGTCCAGCTGCAACTCATTTTCCGTCCCTTCTCTTCCGAGAAGAGGGGCAGGGGATGCGATGATAATCTCTGCTGTCCACGCAGCGGTAAAGGATGCGCAAGCGCACTGCGGTGTCGCATCAACAGCGGCAAAAGGCAGGGGGTGGGGGATACGAGGTAGGCAAAGAGCGGGAGGGACGCGAGAAATTGAAGGCGACATTCCAGGCATTCCATTGGGATGGCGTTGCCTGGCGTCGGTTGGTAGGTGTACGCGCTTCACTTATTCGATCCCCCATCTTTGAATATATATATGAAAGTGGGCACGATCGATACTGGGGGGAATCATAGCGCTAAGAGGACGGGCCAAGGAAAGGGGCGGTGCCTGGTCGGGGGGCTGCTGCCGTATTACGGCGGAACGCGAGAAATATTTGCCTCCAACTTTACAAGAAGTTAATCTTGGTGTTCTGTACAAAAGCGTGTCGCCATTCGAGTACCGTCCAAAATCTATTGACTTGCTTCTGCTAGTCAATTGATAGACCAATCGACCGCAACAGCAAGCTTTATAACAGAGAGCTGTTTAAGAAACAGAACGTTTATTAAAATCACATTCTGAGCTTGTTTCATCCCTTAATTCGAATGCTCTTTTAGGCGGTATTCGTGTCAAAAGATAGCTTCGAGTTACCGCAAAATGCAGCATATGGAATAAGAATATTTTATTTCTTTATACTGACACAAAACAGAATTATAACAAAATCAGGATATCTCATATCGGTATTTCTGGCTAAGCCTGAATGGACTCATTTGGACTAGTGGATTATGCGACGACGAAACACATGACATGCAAATAAGTAAATGTGATATACTGAGAAGTAAATATGATAACCTTTTGTTTTAAATAGTAGACTGCGATTTTAAGCATTACAGCTGCTTCCGAAAGAAAGCATTAGAAGAATTTAAAACACAATTTATTAAGTTAGTAGTTAGTTTTTACTTAGTTTTCACTGTTAATTTTAGCAGAAATCTAGTATATTTACTTACGTTTTTTACGATATAAATACTTTCGGTACAGAGATATAAAATGACATGAAAAGAGGTACACCGTTGCAATTTAATACGAAACAATGTACTATAATAATCTGATACTAATCCATTCAAAAAGCAGCTGTGGTTACAGCTGCATTATATTTGAATTTGTAACGCCACGTTGGCATTACAATAACGGTGCTAAGAAAATGATTGTAATGCTATTAAACCAGACATTTGTATTTCG